CCAAGAATTGCGATCAAACCACCAAAGAGTGCTGCACTAACTACCACTGCAATTTTGACAGCAATTGACTTTTTCCAGTCGTTGGTGTTTGGCCTATCTGGTGGTGGATAAGAAAGACCTGCATTTCCTTTGGTATCTACAATGACACTGCTACGAAATTTTGGAGTAACTCCAGAGAGATTGTTATTGTCAAGTAACAACCATGTTAAGCTCAGCATACTAGTTAGAAAGTCTGGAATCTCACCAGAAAATCTGTTGTTGGAGAGATCCAAAATCTCCAGGGAAGTCATCAGATCAAGTGATGCTTCGGGGATTCACCCTTCAAATAAATTGTGGCCGAGGTTCAGAGAATACTGTAAATTTCGGGGCATCAGAGGAATCTTCCCACTGAGATGGTTTTTCCCTAGCTGAAGTTCAATCAGAGAATTCAAGTTGCCAATGTTTTCTGGTATTGAACCAGCCAAATTGTTCTCCTGAAAATGCAGGTATCCAAGTTTGCCCAAGGTTGATATGGAAGTAGGTATTGGACCGCTAAGTGAGTTCCAGCTGATATTTAGGCTTGTCAAATTGGATAGCTGGGTGATTTCACTAGGAATTTTGCCAACAAAGTTGTTGAACTGAAGACTCAAAACTTGAAGCTGCTTCAGATTGCCCAATTCTGTGGGCAATACGCCCAACAGAATCGTTCTCAGCCAAGTTCAACAACCTTAACTTCTGACATGAGCAAACATCAACAGGTATTGTTCCATTCAAGGTGTTGCTTTCCAGCTCCAAATAAACCAAGCTCTGAAGCTTACTGAAATTGATCCCTTCAGGTACTAGCTATAATTTTATGAGGCCTAAAAAACCAGTTTACTGTAGACCATAGCACTAATGAGTGTGTCCTGTCATTAGAAGCACTTCTCCTGTAGAGTCCAATAGCAGTTAGATACCAAAGAAAGCGTGCTCAGATTGACAATAGCAGTTCAAGGAGATCAGCAACAATTCCTATTCGTGCAAATGCCAAATGGTATTGATACATGTACAGAATTATCGGACTCTACCCTTGGCCCTGAATCTCCAAGACGATACAGAAAAAGTGTCAGTGGGATGTCTTTGTGGCTTGACGGCTTTAAGAGGAGTAATGTTGTTTCTGCATCTGGTATACTTGAGTTTGCTTACAGGTTTGCTTTCCAAATTTACTTAAGTTTTTAGTGACCATGTCAAAAATATTTTGTTGAGGCAATAATAAGAATTTGGCAACCCTCTTTTTGTGATCATAGGGGCAAAGCTGAATTTGGGGAGTAAAATGAGAAATCTTATCAATCTGATTAATGCCACTTTTATAGATCGATCAATGGAGTTAATGTTGCTAATAAATCAATTATGTTTCATAACCTGGTGCTTAAAACTTGGTGTTAGATTTTGTTACATATATGGTGCTGTTTTGATTCTTTGTAATTCACATGAGAATCGTATAAGTAGGTACTAATTGCTTTCTTATGGTTATAAATAATTGTCGTAGCAGACCTCATTACAGCTTATCATGTCATATTGTCGTGTTTTTCTGGTGTCATTGCTTTGCTAAGAATGTAAAATTCAAGCATAATTAACTTCTTAATGTGTTTTTTGGGTCTCAGTATCTCAAGTGCTTTCTTTCTCCACTCTCTTTGTCAATATATCCTTGTTGGAGAGTGAATTCTTGTTGATTTCAAATCATGCCGAAACTACTGATATGGACAGAACTCTGATTGCACTTGACTAGATGACTATAAGCTGGCTACTTCTTTTGCAGGGATTTGCAGAAGGTGACTCAGAATTTCACAACATTGGTTGGCCAGGGTGCATATGGTCCTGTGTACAAAGCTCAAATGACAACTGGTGAAATAGTTGCTGTGAAGGTGCTGGCAACTGATTCAAAGCAAGGGGAGCGAGAATTTGAAACAGAGGTAATGTCATATTTTAATCAGTGCTGCTTCTTAGCGCCAATATAATCTAACACCAAACTTCATCCTCAGATGTCATTACTGAAGTGCCCTCTGTGGCAGGTATGTTGCTGTCTGTTTTTATGCTGTAGTTATTGTGCTGATAGATTCTTATCTCACCTTCTTATATTGTCTGCTCTTGATCACAGGTTAAGCTGTTAGGAAGGTTGCATCACAGAAACCTCTTGAATTTGCTTGGATATTGTACAGAGAAGGGAAAAAACATGCTTATATATGCCTATACAGTAAGTCAACAAACCATATCTTCAGCATTTATGTGATTCTAGGTTAACATAGAAATAGGAGTGTTCTAGCCCTTCTAGGTGTCATTGCAATGATATGAAATAATGAGATTTGACCAACTTTTCTTCCAGAAGAATTAATTACTTTGCATGTAAATGGATACATTGAGATATGTTGAAAAGTTAAGATATTTGATTTTCACCTGTAGATTGACTGGCATACATCAATGATTAATTAAACTTCCTTGCAAACCTATTGTTGTGAACCTTTCTTACGTCGGAGCCTGCAAATTTGACAGGTTTCCTCATTTTCCAGCTTAAGTGATCCCATGCAAGGATAGTTGCAATTGGGGCTTCCGTGCATGCAACTATGCAAGCTTTGTTAGAAAGAGGTTCCTCTGTGAAATGTAGCTCTGTAGGAAGTTCTTGTCGCTTGAACTTCTTGTTCAGCATCCCTAATTGGTATCCTCCTGTTCAGACCAGTGACACCAGTCCCATCAACAAAATCTATAGTTGTCTGAGTATGATCTTGTTTCCCGTATCATTTATTAATCATTTATCCTTTTCTTATGATCTTCTAGAGCGTAATTTCTATTGCTATTCACGATAAGTGATGGAGGGTAGTATATGAACTGGGTTGAAATTTATTGTGAAATAGAACTACAGGATTTGAATTACAGTCTTAGGTTGATTATTCCAGTTTAGGTGTGCTGTATCTTGAATTTTGCTACATTCAAATAGATTCTACAAATGCTCATTTGGACCCTTTTCTTTTGATTTTAGCATGGTGGTATATCGAGGTATTTGGGCCTTTGGGGAAAAAAATTCTTTGCTATGCAACTTATATACTGTTATAGCTGAACGATAAACTAAATGAACTGTTGTAGACTTGTAGTGTAATAACAAGTTCGGGGAATGCTTTGGGTCTGATATTCCTGTTTGTCTTCCATATGGTTGGTTCACAGGCCTCACCTCTATTCTGGCTTTATATCATCAAAAATACATAACTTATGTTTCCAAATTCTTCACAGGCCTCACCTCTATTCTGGCAATAGGATTTAGATAAGCAAAATCTTCTTGTTGTGGTTTTTAATCTGATTTCTTCCTTCTGCTTTCAGGCAGTTCCTCCTGAATACATCGTGACATTAAATCTTCCAACATTTTTTTGGATCAGTCAATGAAAGCTAGGGTATGTACGTTGTTATCACATGTTCCTGCATGATGTAACTTTTTTATGCAGACTTTGTGAATTTGAGATGCTAGGAAGTCATGGTGGCAGTGGTGTCTTTTTGCTGATGAAAATGTTTTATGCTGAATCCAGGTGACCGATTTTGGGCTTTTAAGGGAAGAGGTGATTGACGGGCAAGTTTGCAATTTAAAGGGGACTTTTGGCTATCTTGATCCTGAGTATATATCCACAAGAACCTTTACAAAGAAAAGTGATGTCTACAGTTATGGGGTCTTGCTTTTCGAACTCATTGCAGCAAGAAACCCCCTTCAAGGTCTCATGGAGTATGTAGAGCTGGTAAGTTTATTATCACTTATTCAGAACGTATACATCTATTGCATTCGACACCTCAAGACTATGTCACCAGACCTGATAATATAGGACCCAGATTGTTATGCTTGATGCCTCTCTTCTCCCCGGAAATTATTTAGTTATGAATGACCCATAGCAATTTTTGGATCTTCATCAATGGCATACTGGTTATTTTATTTTTGGATCTTCCCTGGGTTATTCTCTAGGCAGGAGCCAAATTAAGTAGTTGTTTCTTAATGTGTGCTTGATAATATCTCCAAAGAGGCTATTTTGATCCGGATTTTGTGTTGTCTTTTCAGAGAACTGTGACTTGGAGACGACGGTAGATTAGATTGTATATCCGTGCTGTTACTGTGGGGTTTGCCGATTGGTGTTATCGTGCCTGTCTAATTGTAGAAAAGCGATTTGGGGCAGCTTTACTCTTGCACGTTAAGGAACTTGTGGGTTGAAGGTTTTACAAATGTCTTGGTAAATGGTATGGAATGTAAATTTGTTGGACTTGCAAAGCTTGAAGAAAGCAGCATTAGTTAGCCAGTTGGGAAGTATAGTTGGCTATTAGTATGCTGAAAGGGGACATGCTTTTAGCCAAGGCAAGCTAATATACCTGCCCTGTTTCTGGTCCTGGTTGTGCACTTGTGGTTGTCTTCGAGTTACTTTTTAAAGAGGCAAATGTGGAGTCTTTTAGGCTTGAATCAATGGCAACTGCTCGAACTATTTGTATGATCAACATCGAAGTCTGCAAATACTCATGCTAGATTAGCTCTTGCTGCTTTCATCATTCTCTGTGCTTGGCTATCTGTCATCAACCTTGTAGCTTTAGACATTTCATTAAACTATAACAACTTGTATATTATATATTCAGGAGTACTTCTGATGCTTTGGTTAAAATATTAAAAGAGGGATGCTGTTTGCTCAAAACCCCTTATGTGTAATGTGTTGATCGCTATCCTATAGTCTTGTGCAATTTTCCTTATGATCCTGCTAATCTAGCAATAGCCAAATACTGTGTCTGATAATTTTACTTTCAATCCTCCACAACATACCATGCAAGATCTAAAGCCAAACACCTTTAGAAGTTGTCATTTTTAATTTTTTATTTAGTGTTAGTTGTATGACAAATTAATACCTTATATACGAATTATGTTAGACACATTACCATTATCTGAATTTATATCAAGAAACTACAGTTTTAACAACAAAAAATAAAGAGTTCATCTTCATGCCTTAACCATAGAAAAGAGATGATGTGGCAGTATAACAAGACTAATATCTGGCTTAAAAAGGGAATTTCCAGGTTACCCGTTGTGCATGGTGTTTTATTGAGACCAACCCCTGGTGAAGTCGGCATACTCCGGGATGGGTCAATTGTGGTGGAAGTAGGAGGGATCGAGCTTGATCATGGACTATGAACCAAAGTAAAACAGACGGCAGCATATGGTCTGAGTATGATCAAGTGTACTTGAAGTAATTATCTTTCGGATATGGTACAAGTAATACAAGCAGACACGTTAAGCATGAATCTGCTCGATACTTCGGTTAAAATATTAACCCCTCTCAAAACTGCATGAATTTGTATTGTTAGTTTGAACTGAATTCAACTGCCGTATATTACTGTTTATTCTGTATCATACTTGAACTGGACATAGTGTATCATAAACTGTAAACGTCTCAAAAAAAACATACAGACGAAATAGACATTGTTGGAAATTCCACATAATCTTGTTTATGGTTAATTGTAAGGTTGTTGCTAACTAAGATCCAGCCAATAGTACAATTCAAATGCCCCAAAAAAAAAAAAAAAAAAAAAAAAGCCTAAATAGAAAATTCATAGGTAATATGTTACAAACAAACTACCTGAACTGAGGCCATGTAACTAATATATCAATAGAGTAGTTCTTTCCCTGTATCTCCGCCGAAGATTGTTCATCACTATTAAACTCTGCACTACCTTGTAAATAATCAACATCAACACTTGATTCAGAAGTTAAGCTGCCATCAACTATTAAATCTGCTTTTATAATTAGAGAGGACTTTTTTGGCAAAGAAACAAGAGATTTTGACAACGGCAAGGAACCATTGTTTTTAAGGTCATTTATAGGATCATCTAAACCTCTCTCAAAAAGAACACTTTGATAGTATTTCACATCATACGAGGTTGAATACTCTTAGTTGCTATACCGAGCAACAATGCTCCCATAAAACTTTACGGGCAACAAGCCCAAAGCACTATCATTGTTTTTTACCAAGACATTCACTTTAGCGTGTGCTCCATCTTCAATTATTATGTAATGCAGTGCTACATATCCATGATCCCCTCGAATAACAGAACATATCCGTTTGTTATACCATTTGTCAAAAAAGCGAAAAGTCCACGAAACAAATCCTTCAACAAAAACATTACCCTTAGCATCCTTGAGGTCAAGATAAATGCCAAAATCGTTCATAGCCGATAAGCCAACACGACCACAGTATTTGACCTCAATTTTATCAAAACATATCTGAGGAGAATTCTGATCTCTATTGAACAGATGAACATATTGCATACCTTGAACATTGATCCTCCCATAGAGCTTAAAGGGAGGCTTCAAATCATTGCTACTGATACCAATTGAAAACACTTCTAGTAGTTGCACGGGTTTCTTGACTCTCGTCACATGTGATGTCGGCAAAACCAGTGGAGACCTGATAATCAGAATTCAATACCGCATACAGATTAAACCAACTTCACTAAGAAATACAAAACCTAAAGGAAGGCAAGCATGCCTTTTCTAGTTCAAAACACATCTAGAGCATGCTTGGAAATAGAGAAATAAAATTAAAGGTAATGGAGTATAAAATAAAAGGTAGTAATTTCTGAATAATTATAATAGGATTTATTATTTGAAGAATATGAATCCATTACCCATTCCTCCTCCTATCCTCTCTCAATCACCATCTCCTCCAAACTCTTACTCCTCTTCACTTTGCCACCAAACTACAATGGGTAAGTGACTAAAAAATAAATGACTAATCTATTTTATTCTAGGTGTTTAAAGAGCCATAAGGGCGAGTGATGAAAATCGATTCCAAAATCTCCTAAAATCGGGAGGATGCTCTAACCAATTGAGCTATCTCCCACTCTCCATATGATTAATCTATAAAAATACACTAATGGCACAAGAGTGTCAAATAAGAGATAGCAGCCTACCAATCATCACTCGAGAAGGATGTTGAGGGTTGTGGATCAGCAAAATACTGCAGATATAACAAACATCAAATGTAAGATGAGACAATAAACCAGTTTCCTATTAAAAATTACATAGGAAAAGAAAGGCAATATAACATGAAAAGATACAATACAACAACCATATAAAAAAAAAATTACCCGCTGCCTTTTAACCAGTTCATCAAGCTCGCTCTCTTCATTCAAACAGCGTTTCAAATCACTTCCTTTGTAACGCAACTCATATGCATCACCCCATTTCACTCGCACTCTAATACGCCCATTTTCACCCACTACATCCATCTTAAACTGGCTGCGGTCATTAGATGGAAACTCTAAGACACCATTAGCTAGTGTTCTTCCATCCTTATACTTAAAATCCACATATTTCAAGGGGGGAATTTGAATTAACTGGCATAGCAACCATGGACCTTGATAGCTCAATAGATGATCTAGACTTGACCCGTACACATTCATCACGTGACAATTTTAAAAGTATACTTGAAATAGTCGTATTGTCTCCATAGGAGACACTCCCAGGAAACTTGGTGTGTGCAGCAACAGTTCCATAAACATCAGCACCATCGTCCTTTCCATATGCAGAAGTATCATAATCAGTGTAATCAACATCAACATCAACATCATAGTCTAATACATCATAATCATCGTCTTTGCTGAAGAAAAACACATCCACAGAACCTGTCACTGCATAAGGAAAAGTGGCATAATGCAGAGTCACAAATCCGGCCTCACCCAAAACAATTTCAGCTCCATGTTCTGTGTAAAAGGTTTCTTTGTAGTTGAAGCTCAACTTTCCCTTAGCAATGACAACATCACTTCGAGCCCTATCCCTTAGATCCACCTCAATAACGACATAATCATAGGGTATAATGACACGACCATCCTTAAGTCCAGTTAATGACAAATAACGAGTGTAGCCATCCCTATTCAGCTCAATAAACTCAGGGTTGTTGCGTTTCCGTTTGTAGAGATCAAATACATGACCTAATCCATTAGTGGCTATAATAGTGCCATATATCTCACAACAATCACAATCATCAAAAGACATGCCAGGGAGGCTGGTATTTACACTGACAGAGAACACCTCGAGCAGAGGCATAGTCTTGGAACCAATATTACCCCACGCTTCTTGTAGATAGAGTATCCTCCGTAAAACATCCCTACCTGTTTTCTTAGCCAAATCCATATCTGTAAATGGATGACAGATTATTACAACAACAACAACAACAACAACAACAACAACAACAAAACCTCGGTCCCAAAATGATACGACAGATTATTAATTAAGGAAAATAAATTACATTTAAGACATCGTATATTTTGCTACAAGAGCAACTCCAATGGTAAGTTAATGAGCTTGTTGTTATGCCACATAACATTTCGTAGCTAGTTTGTGTTCCGACGGTTAGCTACTAGCTTGTGATTAATAATACGAACCTTAATTCCTTAATTAGCTTTTTGAATTAAATTTTATTAATATATCAAGACTACTTTTTGCAAGTTTTTTCTTAAGCAAATTAGCTTAAACAGATTGTTTGGGCAACATAATTTCATTTTTTTTAAGCAACAACCTCTAAACGACCAAATTCGTCTCAAATGCAGAGGCAGGGGAGGAAGGAAATGAGGTCCAATTTCATAATTCAATCCTAAACAATCAAGGGTTCGGCAATACAATTGCAACAAAATTTGGTCGAAAAATCACATAATTTTATGGATATTTGATTCAATAATCAAATTAGGCTCTTAATTTTCTTTTCTTTTGGTTATGATGTTTCGTAATCTTAGAATTTAGAACCAATAGTTCGATTTTCGAACCCTACACTTAATGCACAAACAATTTAATCAAATATGATCAAAGATAAACCCTAGATTGTGAAATTTATATGATGATAACAAAATCAAACAACTTACCTCAGAAGCTGCTTCAATGGGGGATACAAGTATTAGATTCAATGGAGAACGTCAACTGCGCTTCAATGGAGAACATGAACTGCGCTTCAAGTGTTAGAGGCCTTGGAGCCCTTTTAAAAAGCATGACCCACCACGGTTATATATGGGTTAGATCCGTATATAATAAATAAATGGGGCGAGTCTTTATACAATCGGCTAACACAAACTTTTTAAAAAATCAGGTGTACAATAATTATTGTACATCCATTATAAAAATAACTCAAAATGATTAAAAGTTACCCCTGAAATGAATAAAAGTTAGCCCAATATGCGTTAAAGTAACCAAATTCAAATAAAAATTGTCTACGCTTTATTAGTAAAGAATCACATTTTAAATGACTAAAAATCAATTATTAGTGATTGAATGTAATTAAATTACCTTTATAAAACTTTTCTTGTTGTTGATTTATATAAAAATTGTATTATGTTTAAAGTTATCCAAAAAAAAGACAAAAAGTTACCCTAAAATTAGCTAAAAGTTACCCTTATACTGCTCGATGTACACTAATATTAGTGTAAACCGGATGTATACAAAAGTTTTTGATCGTCTAATTATGGGGTACAACGGGTCTTATAAGAGTTTAGAGTAAACTTGTTCTTACAAAAAGTATTTTGTACTTCGTAGAGTATTAGTTTTCTTTTTAAAATTGAGCAATATTCATGGAAAATGTTCAAACCATGTAAATTTTCTTGTTACACCATGTTATCGATTTTCCCACGGTATTGTCCACGCAAGCAAAGGATAAAAAATAAAATGGGGTTAATTATTGAAAATAAATTGTTGTTTTAAGTTAGTGAACCCCTAATTGAATTAGCAATTTACGCAAAACAACTATACCAAAAACAATATTTTAGGTTAGGGGAAAATCAAATAGCAGTTTTTCAAGGGTAAAATTGATAAAATCGCTAATTCAATCAGCAGCCAGTTTAATTTCGTTGGGAATTGGTAAAAAAAAAAATACAAGCTATTCAATCGTTGACGTGGACAACAATACCGTGGGATTATTAATCAAATTTGGCATAATAATTAAGGAATTTTGCATTATTTTAAAGAATTTTCCACTAATCGCTTGATTATAAAATATAAATACAGTAAAAAAGACAATAAAAATAATTTGAGTAAATAGTGTAAATTTCAAGGACTTAAATATTTTCGGGTTTTGACTTGTATATATCAATGCGAAATAAGTATGTTTTGTTTTTTTTTGATAGGTCCCAATTAACAAGAAATTAAATTTGTAAAATGGAAGTGGACCAAATTCATCATAACTAGTACTTGTAATATATATCATAGTCTTTGTCAAAGGAATTCCTGGTTTGACAAGGAAAGTTGGGAGGTAGTGAGATTAGGTAGTGTTATTGGTTGACAGTTGAATTGCTCTTTTACCTGTGTGAGTGTCTTCTTCCCACCTGATAACTGCCATGGCGCCAACATCAACAACCACTCTCTTTTTTTAATATTTCAAAACTTATGCTAAACTTCTTCATTCCATCTACCTTTTTTAAAATCCACTTTCCTATTTCAAATCCTTCCTTAAAAGTCCCTCTATCCCCTCCCCCCCTCCTATGGATAAGCTACCTGTATAATTTAGAAACGTATATTAAGGTGGTAGATCGGAAAAAATTAATACGGCCCTAATCGGTGTACGGTATACAGACATACAATACATCATCTTTAAGGAATTTAAATTAACAAAGTAAAAGTGATTCTATTTATCTAATGCAGTTGGTTGAAAATATTAAAGGGGTTAGAATTTGATTCTTTTACCTATCGCTTAAAACTAATCACTGTATTCCAATGCTTTGTAAGTAAATATAGGTTATTTAAGCTCAATAATTAATTAATTACAATAATTTACTAGGACGCAGTCCCCAAATGACCTCGATGGTAGGTCTCCCTCTGTTTGCATGTATGTGCTCAAAGCGTACAACATCATTGGTGAATTTACTAAGGAGCTTGAGTGATACATGCCCTACCATATTATAATGGTTTCAAGTTTAATACAAAAAATCATCATGTGCTAAAATGAGATGTGCATTGAAATGGTTTAGCAGTAATTAGAGTAGCAATGTTGTATGATGTATGATCATGGGATGCAAGGAAAACATCCTCATCCCCCCATTGATATCTCTATTTTTTTGTTCCCATTCATTTTTTCTACTTTTTTTTTCCACTAATTTTTATTAATTTATTATTATTCCAATTTCTAAATCCTAAACATGACATATGTAATTAAGTATGTAACTGCTCGTCTGGGAACTCATGCAAAATCATGCAAATTCAACTTAACTAATATTATTTTTATTTTTTTTGCTTCATCAGAATCATCACCCTTATGAGTTAAGATCGAGTTCAACAATTTTGACCAATAGCTAGTGATCCATCCAAGCTGTTATAATTTTAAAAATTGATAATGAATATTTTACAATTTGGGTAGAATACTACTCCCTCCGTTCTCGATTGATAATCACTTTTGAAGAAAAATCACGGGAATTAAGGAGAATTAAATAAAGTACATTGAAAAAGTAAATTTACATTAGGTATGCAAAAAAGTAGAGAGTGAAAGTAATTAAAGTACATGGGAAAGTAAAATTTACATAGGAAAGTTAAATTTGCACAAATATTTTTGCAAATATTAGAGAATTTTGGTAAAAAAAATAATATTAATGGTATTTGAAAAAAGCAAATGTGACTAACATTTTGAGCCACAAAAAATGACAAAAGTGACTATCAATCGGGGACGGAGGGAGTAAAATATATATATACATATACATTTGGCCATTTGGGGTTAAAAGGGAGCACTTTGGAGCAATTAAGCATACTCCGTATATACGAGCAATGACAAAAGTCAATAAACTTATTAAAATAATAAACTTGTCAAACCTTGACTTATTGTTATAAAATGGTTAATGTGACATTTATAGATCTAGTTTTTATGCATTTTTAGTATGTATCATTATTAATTAATTGTGCCAATGAACATTAAAAAATACCAATGTAATTGCAACTATGTTTTGAGTGTAAGTAAGCAAATCATACATACACATAATATGGAATGGATAGATGGATGTATAGTTGGATCTTGGATACCAAATTATCAATTTGTTACTCCTTAGTTAGTTGATACAAAGTATATACTTCGTATGTATTAGGCAATGTTAAGCATTAAACAAGACGTACGATGTCCCCTTTACATACTTCATTATTAAATTTTGTGCAATTTACCTTAATGTCAATCCATGAAAAAGTTTTACTACTCCATATGATTCTTCTTAAGTGTTGAATTTGATTTTTGTACAACTTATAATATTAATACTCTATATAATATTTATCACACGATTGATATTTATTGGAATTATTCTAATTGTATTCAAATAGTAAATCTTTATAAATAAAAGATACGTAGTATCATTTATTGAATTTCATATTGACAAATATATGGATATGTGGCACTAACTAATTAAGAATAGAGAAACTTGTACAAGTATAAAAAAAAAATACTCCAAAAGACACTTTATATTTAAAAATTTTTGTATACATGTTGCACATACCGAAATGTTGGCATACAGCCCGGCAAATCTTTACATAACATGATCAAAGTATCAAGCTAATTTAATATTATACACTATACATATATCTTGTCAAAAATAAACTATAATTGTATTATAAAAGCACTTGTATTTCCACATTGCAAACATGACCATCAACCCAAAAAGTCAAATCCACACCCAAAAAACAAATTAACTAGCCTATAAGGGCAAAATGGTCAGAATAGCAATCAAGGGCAAATTAGGCAGAGACAAAAAATATTATCACTGCTCGAGGCCATTTTTTTGTATAACAACTCGCACCAATTATGCAAACACCGGTGCTTTTTATACATCTAGTGGATTAAACACAATTTTTTTTTTTTTTTTGGTAAGAATGTCCTGATTACTCATTTTTATTAATATTTATATTAGGTAACCATTTGGCTTAAAAACTTTTTTTTGGAAGGGATTAGAAACATTTATAACGTACAATTTTGTACAATTTAAAATACAACTACGGCTACTTCAAATTATCCACTTGCTTACATCGCGTATATTAACAATTAAAACAAAGAAATAACATAAGATTCAATTAACTTTCCATGAAGAATTGTAGAGAGTATATGTGAATTTACACTTATAACATAAAATAGTCTATATTAGTGAGTTTAATGGTTCTTTTAGTATCATATACTCCGTAATCTTTATGTTTCACCTAAAGTAACTCTTTGTACATCAATATGACATTACAATCCTCTCTTTTCATTTGTAAGTAGTTTTCAAATACTTTCATTTTTTTTTATCTTATTAAAAATTAGAGCGACTACTTTATGATATATTCTTAGGTTAATTATCTTTCGGCTTTTCCAACATTAATATTTTCCTGATTTCCTTCCAAATTTATAAAAAAGCCAGACTAACATGAGACTGTAATCATTTAATTCAGCAAAAATAAAAATTTAAAAACAAAAAAATGACTAAACATGAGACTGTAATTTGATTATTTGAAATTCAGAAAAAAAAAAAAAGTGTAAAATTAGCAGGTTGTGCGCAGTCCCCAGCAGCAGTGTATATAGATCGTCTTTCTCATTTGTCCCCACGCTTTTCTCTTTTACGACTCCTAGAATCTCTCTCTTCTTTCTCTCTCTTCATTTTTGACAAAAATTCCTTACTACAGATTAAAGCACCCACTTAATTCTTTCTTCAAACCAAGTTACCTTTTCTTTTGATTTCAACAGGTAACCCAATTTTCTTCAACTTTTTTCAGTTTTATTCATTAGTTATTTTGCTTTTTTACTGCTTAATTTTGATATATTATCTGAGAAAATCAATGTTATTTTCTGGGTTTTTAGTTTGAAAGCAAAATTCATAAATTATAGTTGAAATACTTTAGTTCCTGATGTACATTTTTAGGTACATTATCTTAGAATTTGATGTGGGGTTTTTATTTTTTGGTTGAATTATGATGTTTGTTTTGATTTTATGGATCAATTATGATGTTTGTTTTAATTTTATGGATCAATTATGATGTTGGAGCTTTT